CCGAAGGCAGTCAGTGTGTTTCATCCTCGGCAGACCCTTGGTCAGAACGTCGGCGATCATGTCCGCGGTCGGGACATGGAGGATCTTCAACTTTCCGCCTTGAAGGACGTCTCGGATGAAGTGATACCTGATATCAATGTGTTTGCTCCGTTGGTGGAAGACTGGATTCTTCGCCAGCTTGATAGCTCCTAGGTTGTCTCCGAATATGGTGATGTCTCCTAACTCGATGAATCCCAGCTCCTCTAAAAGGCGCTGCAAGAAGACTCCTTCCTTGGCTCCCTCGGCCAATGCCATGTACTCCGCCTCGCAAGTAGAGAGGGCCACCGTCTTTTGTTTTTTCGAATCCCAAGTTACGGGACATCCGCTCAGAGTGAATAAGAATCCAGAGTAGGAGCGACGATCGGAGGTACTGTTTCCCCAGTCCGCGTCGACATACCCCTCTAGCGGTTTGGAGTCCGGTCGGTAAACGAGGGCAAAATCCATGGTTCCCTTCAAGTATCTCAATACTCGCTTGGCTGCCTTCCAATGAGATTCGTCGAAGCAGCTGCTGAATTGCCCGAGAAAGCTCGCTGAGAAGGCGATGTCGGGCCTAGTGGATGATGCCAGATACGTAAGGCACCCCACCAGTTCTCGATAGGGGACATCCAGCTGAACTTCAGTTGGATTATCAGTCCTTCTTTCCAGCTTGACGTTCGCGTCGATAGGGGTGCTGACAGGCTTGCAGTCGTCCATTCCGAAGCGTTTGAGCACTTCGCGTATGTAACTCCTTTGGTCTAAGATGATGGCGTTGCCCTCCCGACGAAAACTTATTCCGAGGCATTGGCGTACCTCCCCGAGGTTCCTTATAGTAAAATGCTGGGAAACGAACTCACAGATTCGATCGATCTCTCCTTGGTCCCTCGAGGCGATGAGGACATCGTCTACGTACACGGCAATTAGCACTATATTCTCCCTCTTGCCGATTCGGTACAAACAGGGGTCGGCATTCGTGGCAGTTGCCCCGTACTCTCTGAGCATCCTATCGAACGTTACATACCAATTCCGCCCGGCTTGCCGTAGTCCGTATAGCGCTTTTCTTAGTTTGCAGACCTTGTCTCCTCCGTCCAGGTCCAGCAGCATTTTCTGCGCCAACTGCAGGATACGGTGGTCCTTTTCCGAGTCTATGATGGTTTGCAACAACGACCTTAGTTCTTTGGGGGGTCTCATCAGAACGTCTTCTTCTATGTGTCCGTTTAAGTATGCGGTTGTGACGTCTAGCTGATGGATCTTCATCCCGTACCGAGCGGCTAGGCTGACCATCAACCGAATGGATCCCAGCCGCGCCACAGGCG